ATCCAGATAACTTTAGAGGGATATCTCTATTGTGTACAATTAGTGAGGTTTACACAAGTGTCTTAAACTCTAGACTTACAACCTGGGCTAATATAAGAAGTAAACTACCCGAGACACAAGCAGGATTTAGACAGGGATATTCTCCTGCTGATCACATATTCACGTTGAATGCAATCGTTAAACAATGTTTATCGAAAAGAAAAAGGAAAGTTTACGTTGCTTTTGTGGGTTTTAAAAAAACGTTTGATTCAGTATATCATCTTAAGCTATGTGAGTGTCTGCACGATGTAGGCTTGGGTGGAAAGATGATGAGAGCACTTAAGGGAATCTATGCCTCCGTGAAAGCGCGTGTGAGATGTAATGACAATATTTATACAGATTATTTTGACTGTCCTCGCGGAGTTAAACAAGGTTGTATATTAAGCCCTCTATTGTTTTCCCTTTTCGTCAATGAACTGTCAAATGATGTTTCATCACATGGGAAACACAGCGTACAAATATTTCCAGACTTGTTTGAAATATTATTATTATTGTTGTTTGACGATGATGATATTCTTGTCTCTGACACAGTCACTGGTTTATAAAACCAACTTAATATTCTTGAAAAGTTTGCAGATTCACACGGAATAACGGTAAATTCAGATAAAACGAGTGTTGTTGTATTTAGACGAGGCGGGCGGTTATCTGTTCATGAGAAATGGTTCTATAAAGGCAAACGTGTTTCAACTGCCAACTCCTATAGATATCTTGGGTTTGTATTCTCATATACATCAAAAATGAATCAGTGTGTTTCAGATCTGGCATCAAGGGGTAAACGAGCTTTAATGGAAATATTTCGCAATCTACGGAAGTTTTGTTTTGTTGACACTTCAGTTTTCTTTAAAATATTCGATACTCAGATTCAACCTATTCTTTTAGACGGTGCGGAAATATTGGATGTAGACAGATTTGAAAAAATGGAACAAGTGCATATCATGGCTTGTAAGAAGTTTCTTAACGTTGGTTTGCAAACACCAAATGCTATTGTGTATGGGGAATGCGGTCGATACCCACTATATGTAAATGCTATGTGTCGTTCTGTAAAGTATTGGCTAAAAGTGATTGAAATGGACGAAGATAGGATACCAAGAAAATCTTATAATATGCTTGGTATATAACGATAAGTGTGGCCATCATAACTATGCTTCTTCTATTCGTTCCATATTATTTTCTCATGGATTTGGAGCAGTTTGGCTCAGTCAAGCTGTTGGCGATAAACCATCATTCATTAATAGTTTTAAACACATTTTGATAAATATGTTCTACCAATCATGGAATAGTACTATCAAGGCTAGTTCTAGGTACATCCTGTATAAAGAGTTTAAAAGTCTCCTGGAACCAGAAAAATACCTTTCCATTATTCCTGAAATAAAGTATCGAAATGTCATGATAAGCCTTAGAGCCGGGCTACTAAGACTTAAGGTAATAATGATTTACGTTTGCGGCTCTGCCCCATATGTGAAACAAGTATAGAGAATGAATATCATTTTACTTTAGAATGTGAATATTAATATTACAACGATATTCGACAACTATATTTACCAACAACGTTTTGTCATAATGCAAATATGCATAAATTTAAAATGCTGCTGTCATCCTCATGTAAACAATTACTTGGAAAAATATTTAAATACCTGTATTACAGCCATGAAAGAAGGCGTAATTATGAAAAGCCTGTAAATCTGTAAATTTGTGCCTGACATAAACTTTTCTTCATGCACCACTCTATTTTAAAAGTATGTATTGTATATGGGCCAGTGGCCTTAGTACAAATAAAAGACTTCATTCTTCTTCCACTCATGTCATTCAATAACAGTGAATAGTACACTGTGGCCTTCAAATGAAGCGACAATAGCCTTTCCATATCCAATAGAAATATCTGCATAAAGCAGAGTCGATTGTACGATTCCGACTATATCGTTAGCATGTGCATGGATTAATTATGAATGGTAATGGTACCAGGTGTTCGCGAAAAGATGAGCGTATCCTGTCTCGTCGTCTCGTCGGTGGCACCCGTCACAAACACTTGCAAAGGCAAGCCAGTTGTTCACCTAAAAAAACACGGAAACATTTGGTACAAGTATCAATAGGGAGTTGCATGGGACATCATTTTTTGTCACTGATGCGTCAAATTTGGAAATGTCCTCCACATGTCTGCCATAAAACTTTGTGAAAGCTTTAATGAGGCCTAGAATGTTGTAAACTTGATCAAGCAACGTCTAAGCAAGAGTCGTATGACGCTCTTTGCAATTGGGTAGAAAGAGCATGCTCGATTGTATCTCAGAAGTTGCGAAATGTAAACAACAAAGGCTGGAGCTGATGAAAACAATGCTCGACATGAAGGGAAAGTTGACTATTGGAAGTTTGAAGACATGCCCCTTGTCATACAGTCTTGTGGAAGTGTTTTGTCACCCTGAATATTTATGCTTAGATCTAACTATGAAACAGATGAGGCGGTCTCACTGGTCTCCTTTTTTTCTAGTTCAGGTGGGAAAATCCGTGGAAGGGAATTGGTTATTTGATTGTTATTGAACGATATCAGATCATTGATACGTATACCTGAAGCTTAAGTTAAACTTCTTGGCTAAATTACCTTGATTTGCCTTTGCCAGTCCGAACAGGAAATCCGATTCATATGCGTAAAGAAACAGATCCGCAAGAGGATTACAAATGGTGTCCATGGGGATGCCTACTTCTTGACAAAATATCTTACCCTCAAAAGTGAGGTTATACCCAATTAACTAATTCACCCATGTCATTCAATAACAGTAAATAGCACACTGTGGCCTTCAAAGTGGCGTTATGCCCACCTTTCTATTTTAGTCATGTCATTCTATAACAGTAAATAGTACACTGTGTCCTTCAAAGTGGCGTTATGCCCACCTCTCTATTCAGTTATGTCATTCTATAACAGTAAATAGTACACTGTGGCCTTTAAAGTGGCGTTATAGCCACCTCTCTACTTTAGAAATGTCATTCTATAACAGTAAATAGTACACTGTGTCCTTCCAAGTGGCGTTATGCCCACCTTTCTATTTCAGTAATGTCATTCTATAACAGTAAATAGTACACTGTGGCCTTTAAAGTGGCGTTTGGCCACCTCTCTATTTTAGTAATGCCATTCTATAACAGTAAATAGTACACTGTGTCCTTCAAAGTGGCGTTATGCCCACCTTTCTATTTTAGTCATGTCATTCTATAACAGTAAATATTACACTGTGGCCTTCAAAGTAGCGTTATACCCACCTCTCTATTTAAGTCATGTCATTATATAACACTAAATAGTACACTGTGTCCTTCAAAGTGGCGTTATGCCCACCTCTCTATTCAGTTATGTCATTCTATAACAGTAAATAGTACACTGTGGCCTTTAAAGTGGCGTTATAGCCACCTCTCTACTTTAGTAATGTCATTCTATAACAGTAAATAGTACACTGTGTCCTTCAAAGTGGCGTTATGCCCACCTCTCTATTCAGTTATGTCATTCTATAACAGTAAATAGTACACTGTGGCCTTTAAAGTGGCGTTATAGCCACCTCTCTACTTTAGTAATGTCATTCTATAACAGTAAATAGTACACTGTGGCCTTTAAAGTGGCGTTATAGCAACCTCTCTACTTTAGTAATGTCATTCTATAACAGTAAATAGTACACTGTGTCCTTCAAAGTGGCGTTATGCCCACCTTTCTATTTCAGTAATGTCATTCTATAACAGTAAATAGTACACTGTGTCCTTCAAAGTGGCGTTATGCCCACCTCTCTATTCAGTTATGTCATTCTATAACAGTAAATAGTACACTGTGGCCTTTAAAGTGGCGTTATAGCAACCTCTCTACTTTAGTAATGTCATTCTATAACAGTAAATAGTACACTGTGGCCTTTAAAGTGGCGTTTGGCCACCTCTCTATTTTAGTAATGTCATTCTATAACTGTAAATAGTACACTGTGTCCTTCAAAGTGGCGTTATGCCCACCTTTCTATTTTAGTCATGTCATTCTATAACAGTAAATATTACACTGTGTCCTTCAAAGTAGCGTTATACCCACCTCTCTATTTAAGTCATGTCATTATATAACACTAAATAGTACACTGTGTCCTTCAAAGTGGCGTTATGCCCACCTCTCTATTCAGTTATGTCATTCTATAACAGTAAATAGTACACTGTGGTCTTTAAAGTGGCGTTATGCCCACCTCTCTATTCAGTTATGTCATTCTATAACAGTAAATAGTACACTGTGGCCTTTAAAGTAGCGTTATAGCCACCTCTCTACTTTAGTAATGTCATTCTATAACAGTAAATAGTACACTGTGTCCTTTAAAGTGGCGTTATACCCACCTCTCTATTTCAGTAATGTCATTCTATAACAGTAAATAGTACACTGTGGCCTTTAAAGTGGCGTTATAGCCACCTCTCTACTTTAGTAATGTCATTCTATAACAGTAAATAGTACACTGTGGCCTTTAAAGTGGCGTTATGCCCACCTTTCTATTTCAGTCATGTCATTATATAACACTAAATAGTACACTGTGTCCTTCAAAGTGGCGTTATGCCCACCTTTCTATTTCAGTAATGTCATTCTATAACAGTAAATAGTTCACTGTGGCCTTCAAAGTGGCGTTATACCCACCTCTCTATTTTAGTCATGTCATTCTATAACACTGAATAGTACACTCTGACCTTCAAAGTGGTGTCATGCCCACCTCTCTATTTTAGTCATGTCATTCTGTAACAGTAAATAGTACACTGTGGCCTTCAAAGTGGCGTTATGCCCACCTTTCTATTTCAGTCATGTCATTCTATAACACTGAATAGTACACTCTGGACTTCAAAGTAGCGTTTTACCCAAGTCACTTTTTTACTCCTGTCATGCAATAACAATGAATTTTACACTGTTTACTTCAAAGTGGCGTCACAGCCAACCCAATTACCCATTTCCTGTATGTTTTATTTGTTTATTCCAGTGGATTGAGATGACCCAGAAAACAAACGGACGTCTCCATAATGTCTATTCCGTGTGCGCCAAACGGGGTACCGATGTTAAGGACTGGGTGGTCACCCCGCCTATACTCACCAATGGCAGCGATACGGTGTATCTAAAGCTGAAATACAGCATCCGGGAGTGTCTTGGTGAAGACGTACCTGTATGTCATATTGACATGTACAGCTACCAAACCACCACCGCCGTGCCTATTCCAATCTACAGCAAGTGGGACCACCTTCAGTACATCAACACGTCAGCTCCTATCTCTGAATTTACCAGCATCGTCGAGGTAAACGAACTCTCAATGGCGATCCCCTTGAGCAGCACTGGCAACAAGATCTCATTTGGATTCAAGGATGAAGGATCGTGTTCGAAAATCATATCCCTGAAAGTTTCTGTGATATTCTGTGAGGCGGTCTCAACGTCTTTAATGACGTTTCCGGAGACGTCGACGATGACGTCTGACAGAGTGGTCAAAGGAGAGTGTATTGACAACGCTGAAGCAACAACGCCCGAGTTAACATCTGTATGCAAACCGGACGGGACCTGGGGTGACATTACAGGAGAATGCGCATGCGCGGAAGGCTATGAAGCAGAAAAAGAGACATGTTCTGGTAAGACTCGACGTATTTTGTATGGTTCGTGGAACCGAGGGTGTCGTTTCTATTCCGACATGGGTCAAGGTTTGAAATATGATGGAGTTGTTGCAGTGATGCTAACACTGTAACACAAGAAATGTTATATTTGGGATAACACATTCTCAGTAAAGTACACATTCTTGTCACGTCCGGGATTCACACACTTCATGAGTCACCTAATTGCCAGTACACAAAGTCAATGAACCGAGGCTTCCAAAGAAATGGAAGTCCGACCACTGGTAGTCTAGATCACATCATTTGTGTACCCCTCTGATAAATGTAAATTGACATGGCTCCCATGTCTATAGGCTATGAATACACAATGCCGTTCGGAAAGTGGTAAAATATCAGAAAAGTTGGGATCACACTTTCTTAATAAAGTACAAATTGTAGAACTTTTCTAGATGAAACTCTTTGTACTTGACGAAAAAAAGTATTATTTCAAATATCACAATTCTTACATTTGACCACTTCCTTAATGGTAGAGTGTCTCCAGTGTAATTACAAATTCATCAGCACTCTCTGCACCATAGGTCAAGCTGCGCTCGCTTTACGAACGGGGTCTTTTTTTTTCGATTCAGCAAGCACGGTGTGCTGGAGTCAACACGGAACGTGAACTAATGAACCACATATATTGAATTGAATGTCTGCAGAATGCTTATAGAGTGTAAACATATATACTTTCTAACATAAATATATCAAATATAATGTAATGTGAAACAAACTTATAACTACTTAGGAATCATGCCTCAGTTGTGTCTTTAACGTCTTAATGTGTAAAATGAGGGTAAACTCACATGTCTGTCTAATTTCAGAAATAATTGTCTCTGCCTGTGGAACCACTAGTCTCTCCACTGTTGCCATGCTATCCGGGCTGGTCCTGTCAGTGACGTGGATTTGAACCGATGCAATCTTCTTATTCGACGACTCAGGACTTCATTTGGAAGCTCTTTTAAGACCTCTGTTTACTTTGTTACGTTTGTCTGAACTTTTCAACGGAAAAAACCTCATTTAGTACAGTTGCTATTCGTTTCAGTTGATTCTGTATTTGTTCATAGAAGCCTTGGGTGTATCCAAAGTGGTAGCCTTTGCGGACAATACATCAAGCACTATCTGATTTTCTGGCAACGACATGTTTTTAAAGGTTTTGCATATACTCAGTGGTTAAAGTATCTGTGATCAAATAGATATTTATAATAATGACGATGACATAAGGACATTATGTCGTCATGTTTTACAGATGAATCGGCCTTTTCATGGTGTATTCCGTAAATATTAATCCTGCACCAAACGGCTACGATATTATGGTCTTGAGAACAAGCTCATGGTTATTTATGCTTTGGTTGTTCAGTGAAACCTTTTTAACCCGGATACGTTAATCTTGTAACCCTGAAATTCGGACACGTTAATCGTGAAAGCCTGAAATCCGGACACGTTAATCATGAAACCTTGAAATCCGGACACGTTAACCTTGTAACCCCGAAATCCGGACACGTTAATCGTAAGACCCTAAAACCCGGACACATTAATCTTATTACCCTTCAATCCGGACATTTTAACCTGGTAACCCTTCAATCCGGACACGTTAATCGTAAGACCCTTCAATCCGGACACGTTAATCTTGTAACTCCGGATGATTATTGTTGTGAACGTTTATATAGAAAGTAAAGCACCGGTTCTTTGATCCAGATGACTTCCCTGGAAACAGTATCTCCATATCTAACGGGGTTTCAATGTATTATAACCGTCGGGGATTATGGAATCTTAGGGTCCATGTAACCTAAAATAATAGTTTGAAAATATTGCGATAACTGCATTATTGTCATTGATACAATATGTCGTTTGTGTACGTTAAGGCGTAGAGTTTGCTAGATCATATCTCGTCATATCCGTTGTTGTGATTCACACTGCTGGTTAGGGCATTTTGTATGAATGCCATACACAAGTTGAGTTTTTTGTTTGTTTTGTTGTCAAGTATAAAAGTTGACGTTTTTAAATCATGACACTAGCTGTAAAAGGTCTTACAGACCACCATACCTAGTGGTTTTGAAAACTTTTGTGTTAATTGTTATCTTTTTTCTTCCGAAATACATGTAATTATAATCGAAGCATGTTAAAGATTTATTAAAGTTTTATTATCAATATTATATCAAATAAAATTGAGATTGATGAATGTTGTAGTATCACTATTATATCAAATGAAATTGCCGTTATATCTGCATCTTCGTGATTAATACTGCTGGTGTATAACGCGTTATTAAATCAGATAGAGAAAATGATTTGCGAAGAAATGGCAAATTTGTTGTTGGCAATGTTATTGTTAATATATCAAGGTTTGTTGTTTAATATAAGATATTTTATAACTCTAAAGTATTATTCAAACTATTCATTGCAGAGGAGCAGGTTTCTTTCTCTGGCTCGGGGGCTCATTTCAACAGATCATGTTGTACAATGAGACGAGTTTTGTAGTTATAACTGAGAGTGTTGCCTGTAATGGAATACATATTCCATATAGCAAAACTTTGATAATACGAACTCCATTGACGGGTTATATCTTTACGAGAATGTGGCATACGTTACGCTTTTGCCTTCCAGGTTCGAACAGGTGACTTGTAACACGTTGGATGGTATTCAAGACTTCGAGTTATCAATGTTTGGCTTAGCCGGATCAGATACAGGTATGACTTAATGTGATACAGGATGTTTTATCTAGTTCTTATTGACAATAATTAACAACCATGTACTATGTATGTAAAACGACTTTGCATTGTGATGACGTAAACTGACGGGCAAAAAGAACATACACTTGAAAAATGGATTTCAAAACGTTGCTAGGCTACAAAAAACTGTCGCCGAAACACTGCTAGCATTGTGTCCAAAACACACTTATGATACCCGTATCAAAAACAATACCATCGTGTAAGCATTTATTGTTTGTTTCGGGGCTGTCGGGTAGCCTAGTGGTTAAAGCGTTCGCTCGTCACGCCGAAGACCCGGGTTCGATTCCCGTCATGGGTACAATGTGTGAAGCCAATTTGTGGTGTCCCCCGCCGTGATATTGCTGGAATATTGCTAAAAGCGGCGTAAAACCGTACTCACTCACTCACTATTGTTTGTTTCATTTTTTGCCACCATCAAACACGGATGTATATTCTCTATTGCCCGGCAGTTTATAAATAAGTAGTTCTGTGAATTATTATAAATAGAATGATCACCAAATACAGAACAATTTGGATACTAGTATTTATTTTTAATGACATATATGTGGTATATATTATCTGTTTCTTTATATATACCACATATATAATATTAAGCTTCAGGTATATCGATGATCCGATATCGTTCAATAACCATCAAAACGCCAATTCCCTTCCGCTGATTTTCCCACCTGAACTAGAAATAAAGGAGACCAGTGAGACCGCCTCATCTGTTAAATAGTTAGATCTATGCATAAATATTCAGGGAGACAAAACACTCTCCACAAGACTATTGGACAAGAGGGATGACTTCAATTTTCCAATAGTCAACTTTCCTTTCACGTCGAGCAATATTGTCAGCAGCTCCAGCCTTTGGTGTTTACATTTCGAAACTTCTGAGATATAATCGAGCATGCTTTTTCTTCCAAGATTTCAAAGAGCGTCATACGACTCTAGTTCAGACGTTGCTTGATCAAGTTTACAACATTCTAGGCCTCAGTAAAGCTTTCAAAAAGTGTTATGGTAGACATGTGAAGAACATTTCCAAATTTGACGCATCAGTGACAAAAAAAATTATGTCCGATGCAGTTTTCTTTTTTGACTTGAACCATATGTTCCCGTGTTTTTTTTCAGGTGAACAATTGACTTGCCTTTGCATGTGTTTGTGACGGGTGCCACCGGTGGGGCATGAAACGCTCACCTTTTCTCGAACACCTGGTATCACTACTATTTGATACTGATTCATAAACACATGCTCATGATATAGTCGGAATTGTACAATCGACTCTGCTTTATGCAGAGATTTCTATTGGATATGGAAAGGGTTTTGTCGCTTTATTTAGGTTACCACACATTGATTATTCGTTCATTGTAATTGCTTCAAATATTTAGTTGATTGTGATGTTGTGTTAAAAGCCATACAAACAATCAAAACACTTACAGCATATACATAGTAAGCATTATTAGTTCAGACACGGGGGGCCCAGTTGTCAGGAGTGCCTCAATTTACCGTGCAGGTTTGCAGCCCTTTCGCGTGCCAGAATCCCATGAGTACAAATCCCGGTATGCCATGATTATGTTTCTAGGTATGTCAGCACCATCTCCGTACTCGTGTGTTTCACCAAAGTGGTACGCGTCTATAACGGAAATATTGTTTAAAGCGGTGTTAAGCCACACTCATTCACTCATTGTTAGATATATTCGCGGACCTTCAGTAACACATACATGCCTCCCATGTAGAGAGCTTAAGCACAACCACAAACCCATTCCATTTCTTCAATCTTTAACAAATCATACGAGGAACACTTAATTACATGGTTGTTGGCTATTCTTAAAATAATGCAATTTGCACAAGGGAAATACGAAGAGGGTTCTATATTTTTTAAATATTTTCATTGTGGTTGTTATATTAATACTGTGGTAAAAAAACATTTGACCCAAATAAAAAACATGTACACAGTGCAATCTGTCAATCCGTATCGAACAGACCGGGCCTCACGCTTGGCGACATCACTAAGGCGTACATTAACGTAGCCATGCTTCGAAACTTGCGATGTGACTAAAAACGTAATGTCACTGTAGCAATTGTGAGTAGTGTTCCATTACAAAAAAAGTAAATATTTGCAAGTTAAGAAGAGGCAGTTTTTCTTATATTTCCAGGGCTTATATGCTGTTCGTTCCTAAATCACCTGTGAATGCATGCATCCGAAATTGGGTGTGGTCGTGACCTTGTCTGTTTTAAGTCATCTTTTGAAATGAGGCCGTGTATAACTGATAAAAGTCAATGAGCCATCCTCCATGCATGAATAAAGTGTCAGCCTTACCATTGCCTGCACATTAAGCAAAGCGTAGAGTCGACCGCCATCGAAAATCGGTGCCGCGATGTAAGCTGAGCCCTCATTGGTCTGGTTGGAAACGGGCCTTTGATTGGTTCATTGGTTAAAGATAGGGACTGCCCTTCATTCGGGCCGTATAGGAGGTGCAGTGGAAGGGGGCTTAACGCCTCACTCAAAAGCTTTGCACTTATACAGCGGCGTGCATGCTTCTGTGTTAGTGTGTGTGGCTTCTTGTGCTAGTCCGGACTAATGCCGGTTATATAGATCTCACCCACTGAGATACCATGCCGCAGTTTAAAATGGATAACCCACATCGACACAGTATACTCACTCCGAGCCGTCCAGTCCTTGTTTTGTCCCTTTAATGCCGAGTGCCAGCAGAGAATAGATCTATTATATGGTCTCTGGTGCCAGGCAGAGTAACACCAGGTACCCCCTTTTACAAGTATACTGACACCGAGCTGACCAGTCCTTGTCTAGCCCCTTAATGTCGAGTGCCCGGCAGGGTAGCACTAAGTACCATCTTCTAACGTCTTTTGATATGACGCGGTGCGGATTGAACCACCGATCTTCCGCTAAAGCAGTCACTCATCCACAAGAGCACGTATGTATTCATAGGTCATGGAGGCACGTACATTCCAGCGAAGTATTGGCGATGCAGGTTTTGTATATCATAACTGTATTTAGTTAACCATTATGCCTTATATACATATAGAAATGTTCAATAATCAAGTGTATAATAGCATTTGTATGATCTGATAGTTAGCATGATGTTTGCATCACAACATACTTTATCATGTTTTATGTACGAACCGATTAACACACATTTAAGGTTGGGTAGAAGTTGTATTAGTTGCTAAACCATTGAATAGACAAGATTTATGAAGCAATGTACGTCGTCAAGCTAATGTAACTCAATGATGTGTTTTCTTTTTTATGGTATAAGCATAATTAGTAATTGTTCAGAGATTTTTGCCGTTGATATCATGTTGCTTTATTAGTGCTTGGAGAATATATACATTAAATGCTTGTTACACAGGCTTAGAAGCTGCTTTATATACATAGTTGATGTAGCTGTGTTATAAAAGTATATATAACCCGTCAGCAGTTGATAAGATGCGTCATTTGCATAATTTTGGGGACGACGACCATTTATTATATTGTTTGAGAATATTTTTTTGTGTTTCGGTCAGAGCTCCAAAACAGGTACTTGTTTCTCTGTGAGGAAGCGATAAATTGGCACAGATACATTTTATCAGGAATGTTTATCGTTTTGTTATAGAACCGGAGGGCAAAGTATATGGTCCAGTATTTTCGGGAACATATATACTTTCACAAGAAAACCTCCTTCACCCCAATTCTCACAAAAATATCTAAAGCTTTCATTTAGTCCATTTACAAAATGTCGATTAACCAGTTTGAAATGTTTCAACTTCATGGCAGTCCTTTAACGTCAAGAAAAGCACACACTACTGAGAAATATGAGTACATATGGGCGGATTTCCCTGGGGGAATGTATATAGGTCAACTCCAGTTTCCACTGGTGGGATAGTCGTATTTGTTGCAATGCTTTTGATGTGTATTTATCCCTGTATATTTTACCATAGTTGCATAAAGTCATTAATTCCATGTTTATTTGTTATTTAAGTCTTTTCCCCTCGCTCTCATAAATGTTTTCATGACATAAAACAATATGATCCTTTTCTTCAGAAGCAAGCTGGCAGAATTTTTTAACACGTGATAACTTTTCCTTTTATATGTGTGATTTATTAAAGAAAACGACAAATAAAACAAAAATATGCAAGATTGATTTAGTCATAAAAAGGTTTTAGCATATCAGAATTGATATGTCCATCTCTGACTAGATATCAATTTTAATACCCTTTATACAAACATAGGTGAAGCTGGCTACAAAATTTAACAACAGATATATAAACAATTTATAAGCATCAAAGCTCTCACAGTGATGCTATTACTGAATCAAACGTAACGCAACGATAGTGATCATCTTATAATTCATGTTTAATAAATGTCAACAAACGATTGTGTAAGAAATTGTGAAGAGCCTTTCGTTTCATCACTTTAGAAATTCACAACCCTAAAGTACCAACCGGTTGCATAGAAACATTCCTATGCTAGAACTTCGAAAGTTTATTTTGCTTTAATGATAAGTACAAGAATCCAGATACATTCTAATTATCATAAGTTACATGATCACCTGATGGATCGACTATTTGATAGTCGTTGTGGGAGATGGGGCTTGTGAGTGGCTGAGGGTGGTGATTTGTTTAAAGATACAGGAAAAAATAATGAGCCTCAGATAATACCAATCAAACTTGTTCATATTTGGGATGTGCTGAGAACACCGATATCTGATAAAAAACAAACAACAATAACAAAAGTCTCGCTCTTGCTTTCAGATAATTTTTTTCAAAGCAGATACTAAAGAATAAACCTCTTGCTCGACCCACGGGATATCAAATGGCCACTCCTAAGACCCCACAGATTGAATATTAGTTTCTGGTGAACAATTGACATGCCTTTGCATGTGTTTGTGACGGGTGCCATCGGTGTGGCAGGATAGTTTCACCAAGACATAAATGCCTTGAGTCCTCACCATCTGACAGTGGTTCATGAACATTTGCTTATGATTTATATGTAGTCGTTTTAGAAAACATTTCTTTGGATTATAGAAATGTTTTTCCCAATATATTTCTGTACACTTGGCAACAGGACACAAGCATGTACTGATGATAATGCATATCTATATTAGAACCCTGAGTCGCTGCTGCAAAATACACATTTGTGGAGTATAGTGTAAATAAGTTCGTTTCGAACTTTTGACGCCTCACCTTCTTACTTAGAAGAAAACAGAAGTAACCTATCCGCCTTGTAAAAGAGACATTAAGATGATGTTCTTGGTCGTTCTGGAGCAAGGAACAATGAGTTCAGGCACTAACTGCATTGTGTAAAGACATAATAACAAACCGCAACGAAATAGTTAGTTGTTAAATG